AAAGTGTGGAATGACGTCCAAATGACGTCCTATTTATAGGGATGAGGCGCAGTACGGCCCCTGGGTTCAATACGGCCCGTATTGAGTTTTTGTACTTCAATACGGCCGTATTGAATTCAGTACGGCCGTATTGAAATACAGAAACTTCAATACGGCCGTATTGGTTTCAGTACGGCCGTATTGTAGTACAAAATGTGCAGTACGGCCGTACTGAACTCCAAGGAGGCCGTATTGAGCTCCAAACCTCCCACTTCCTTATTTTTAGGTACTCTAAGACCTCTAAACCTACAGATAGCCATCCTATGGTCTTCTAGGAGTCCTTCTGGCTGACTTTCTTTCGATCTTTGAGAGTCTTCGAGTCTTATTTCCGACCCGGACAATTTTAGGGGTCTACAGTGACCAGGTTCGTGGAAAGGGTCTAATGAAGCCGAATCAGGGTCACAAGGACAAGGTCAAAGTCAACAACGACAGCCAGTTCTAGAAATCGGCTAGAACAAACAGAGAGGGGAGATATGACTTCTATACTCCCCTGAACACGCCCAGGGTGCATATCCTGGAGGAGGCCAGTAACAACAAACTGCTCACTCTACCACCGCTAGGTCACACCCCCAACAGCGCCGACAAGTCCAAGCACTGTCGGTACCATAGAAATCAAGGTCACACCACTAAGGAGTGCCGCTCACTTCGGGACCGTATTGAAGAACTCATCCAACAATTATAACAAAAGTACTTCAACGGAAACCTCAACAATCACCTCATTAACTTATTTGACTCAAAATATTGATTATGCTACATGTTTTGTTTTATATATTTATTTTATACAAAGAAAAACATATGAATTTAATATTTATATATCAACCTGATTTATAAATCAAATAAATTAAATTATACATACTTTAAGTTATTTAATAATATTAATTTTTAATCCAAATTTAATGAATTAATTATTGAATCGAATATCAAACTATTTTTTAGTTGGTTCAATTCAATAAAAAACTTTAAATACACCATGAAACATCTCATTTTTCATAAAATATAATATAAGTATATAATATATATTTTTGGTATTTTTTTTAATTAATAGAATTGTGTTAATAATTATTTTAATTATTTGACATGTTTTAGAATATTGTATAAGATGCTTTAATTAAATATTTTATTTAATTAAATTAAGAGGAAGGGAATTAATAATTAAGGTTAAGTGTTTTAACTATAAGGTTAAAGAAAGATTAAGGTTTTTTAAGAGAGCAATTTTCTGATTAGACCCTTTTATGCTTTTATTTTACATACGTGCTTCAAAGCTCGAAAAATATAGAAGTAAGAAGGAAATCACCCTTAAATCATGCACCTGTGTTCTTATGCTTACCAACGTAAGAGAGAGTGAGAAACCTTACTCTAGGTGTGAGATTATATGTTAGATGGTGGAATTAGTCCCAATCCTGTGTATATTGTATGTCTATGTATGAATGATTTTTTTAAAATGTGTTTGTTTTGTCTCTTGTTTTTTTTACACATTCTTAATGACATGATTTGTTTGAATATATGATTAATAGTATGTTTTAGATTGAAATTGTATGATATGAAGTTCCTCCTATGAGAAACCCTAAGGAAACTAATTATTGTGATGGTTTGTGAAGATACTAATGATATGTGTCATTGAGTGATTTGAAATGTTAATTACATGTTATAAAGCACTTTTACCAATTGTATGTGTTTGTGCATGAAATTGGATGTAGGTAACCTATAGTCATTGAAGATATGTGATTTCCAGGGAAGAAGATTGCCTCATTATTCAATGAGAAGTCTTAAGGGACTCAACTTGCTTAATTAGATGTGGGTCGCACAACGAGAAGTCTTAGGGGGCTCAGCTCACTCAACTAAATGTTGGTTGCTCAATGAAAAGCCTTACGGGGCTCAACTTATTCAGTTAGATGTTAGTCGCTCAATTAGAAGTCTTAAGGAACTTAGCTCGCTCAGCTAGATGTTGGTAGATCAACTAGATGTTATTCACTTAATGAAAGTGTGCTGAGATCACTTAGTACTGTTAGATGGTTGTTTTACCCTTGTGATCTTGATACCACCTTTTATTAATGACTAGTCGATGTATTTGAGAATATACATGGAATATATGAGGTGATATGAGGAATATGTGATATGTGAAGTGAGATCATGTGCATGTTATTGCATTGAGTCTATTTGACATGCATCATTCACATAAAAATGTGTTTTAAGGATACGATATGAAATACACTGTTAGAGAAGACCTCCCTTGCGTAAAAGTTTGGGAATTATTCCTTAGGGATAGCTCATTTTGAAAGTTTTAGTCTTGTCTTCGTGTGCATGGGATGTATCTTGCGCGGCTTAACTATCCCGACCAAACCCTGGTAGTATGTCCTCCTAATAAGAATGCACAGAGGGTATGTCGCGACATGTACTCCTAGGCTACTTTATGCGTATTGCTAGTGACAATACACAAGTGTGATATTTTTACTAGTGTCACATGCATGATAACATGTAGTATGTGTTCATGGCACATGCATTATAATGTTAATTGTTATGGTTTATTATGCCATGAGTAAACCAAACATGATAATGGTATCATGTGTGTATGTTATGCATTGTTGTATGTCTTGTTTATGTTTGATTATCCAGTTTGTATTTTTGCATCATGAGCCAAAGTGAGATATTTCTCACTCCTTTTGTCTTTGTTGTTGGTCTTGTGTTAATTTGTAGGAAATGATCATCATGATGCTTAAGATGTTGGTGATAAAACTTTGACTTTATATTGGATTGCTCTGATATAATATGTGACATTAAGATATAGTTAGGACTAGTTTAAGACTTTGTTTCTATTGGTTCATTTGGACAACATTAATTTTTAGTTTCTTTTTAATTCTTTCAATTGCATTATATTATTTGTTTAAGATATAATGTAATTCTCTCTACTTATAAAAATTTTGAATTATTTTATTATATTAAGGTTATTTAATTTTTATATTCTTATATGTTATGGCATGTAACGTGGAGGATGTAACATACCATAACAAATGATACATAAAAAAGTGTGACATAGCAATAATGAATATAATTAGAAATGTGTATTTTCAAAAAAACAAAAGGGTGTAATTTTATTATCTTAATGTACTAAAAAAATTGTTGAAATTAGAAGTGTTAGATTTAGGGTTTTGAAATTTATATATATATATATATATATATATATATATATATATAACAATTATTTTTTTCCCTTCACGTACATTGTTTACATAGTAATTAAAGACTAATATGTCCTCATGGAATAATAGTTATTTTAATATAAATAAAAATCAAACTTAAGAGTACTAAATCAACCTCTAATATCCTAGAATAGACCTTACAAGCACACTACTATTTTAAAATTAATAAATATGTTATAAGAAACTTGAAATTTTTGTTTCTTTAACATAGACTTTGATGTTTGATTATGAAATTGGTTAGTTATAGAATTACATGCATATTTTAAAATTGCATTTTTTTTAAGCTGATTATTTTTGAAATAGTAGAAGGTCATCACAACTTAGATTCTGTGACTTTACAAATTTGGTAGCGTAAACTATTACATTCACAAATACTTTTTCATTATAACTTTTATAAAATGGGAGATGAAATTGTTTTATCATATATAATTATTTATCACCATAAAAACGTGTTATAACAATAATAAAAGAACACATGTTAACAAAAATATGATTAATACATCATTTTACTGCTAGATTTTTTGAAAAAAAAATTAATTAGGTCCTTAAACTAAAAAAAATTATAATTAAGTTCTTTATTCTTTTTTTTATAATTTTGTAATTAGTCTTTATGATTATAAATTCATTTATAATATGTGAACGTTTACAAAATATTTTTAACATAAATACATGGCCAATCATATTAGGTTATTATTTAGTATCATCATCCATATATATCAATAATATTTTTTGAAATTTAATAAATTGTAAACAAATTTATAACTTAGGAATCATGAGAGTTATTTTCACAAACATTAGGATATTATTAATAATATAGAGAGAATGGTGGCTTAAGACTGGAAAATTATTTTTGTGAGTATCTTGAGATATAAACAAAAGTCACTGATACTTTTATGGATTGAGAGTTAAGAATTGCTATTTATACGGGATGGAGGAGTCCTCCAATTTTTAGTTGTCAGTTGATGAGAGATAATAATCTTTGTCTATTGTAAATTTGTAATTGGTTTCATTTATTTTTGTCTCAACTATTTCGTAGAATTTGCCAACGATTGTATCGCTTCACAAATATATATGTGTAGTTTGTTTATGAATTTTTATACCCTCAAGATTCACTTACGTCCCTCCTTTATTTTCATTAAAAAAAATAACTTTTGCGTGCACATAAAATGTAATAGAAATTAAAGATGAAACACGATGCATGGTATGTTAATATTATTTGTTTTATTAATAACACCACCACCTTATATATACTACAAAAGCAATAATCATAGTGGACCACATTGGTCAGCAGGGGCACCAGGACCACCATAGAGAAACGCTTGCCTATGTTGTTCTCCCGAATAACCAGGATACAAGAGGTCATAGCATTTAGGGTCAGCGTTGCGATAAATCTTCATGTCATCAGGCTTTACTTCTTGCTCCTTAAACTGCGAATCCAAAATCTTCAATCGAGCAAAGTAACATGCGTAACGATATTTAGCCTCTGGCAAATACCCAGTTCCCATTGGAGGATTTGATACACTGGCCATAGAACCTGTTTCTCCTCCAAATCTGATCACAGATGCCCCATTACCTAGGTGGGGGACAATATCTTTTGGCCAATATCCAATATTTATGTTTCCTTTCAGCGTTAACCACCAGTTACCTAATTGATTATCCTTCATCAGACAAACAAAACTTCACCCGCTAAGTTACTAATTCATCATATATGTTCAACAATAATACTTAAGAGGAAAAACAAATTATAGAGCATATGCATGTATACTAAGTAAAAACATAATGTCAACAAATAATTGGAAGCCATAGTAATTTCCATTTGAATCATCGGAAAACAAATTAATAAAAGGGTAGAGATCATAAAGTAGAAGAGTTATGACCTTTCTGGTTGGATATTGTTCTTGTTTGTTTAAATTTATTTAAAAAATAATACTTTTTTATATAAAATAAGGAGTTTTTTCTTTTAAAAAAATTTATCTACTTAAAATAAAAACAATTTTATAAATTTTTTTTTTTTTTATAACATGCTTTTCGATCTATGAATGCACATTAAACAAGAGATGTGAGTTGTTCAATCATTCTCTCTGGTCTTCCCTTTCTCTCAGAGATATTAATTTATATCGAATAAACCCTTGGTTGAAGATTTGGTCTCAAGAAATAAATTATTTAGTATTTTTTTGGTTTCTTTATAATGGTGATGATGCTAAAATTAGAACCTGAGATCTCATACATATTATCTAACTCCCACCAATAAATATCAATCTTAATAGTTATTTAGCATTGAGTTGTAGTAACATATCCTGCCACTTTCATTTTAAATCTAATTGCTAAAACTAGAATGAAATTAATCTCCCCCCTTCTCTACAAAGTATTAAAGACTTTACTATCATGGAAGTAAAAATGTGTACATAAAACAAAAGTATATATATGCTGTGTGTCCTTAAATGCATTAAAAGTTACCAGTTGAATGTTATTAAAAATATAAAAAAAATTACCTGTTCGATTATAAAATTTAAATATAATTTTGTTGTCGATCCAGTTTGAGAAGGCTCAAGGATAGTTCCAAAGCCAACAGTTTGATGGACTTGGATAAAACCCGGGCACAGCACATTAAAGCATCCAGCAGATTTTTGATCTCCTTGGACCTAAAGCGTATATATTTCATTACCACAAAAAATGTAAATCGTTAAACAAATTAATTCAGACACGAAATAATATAGAAAAATAATATGTTGCAATCCTTACTTTCCAAAAGCCAGTTAATCTCGTTTTACTGTCTCCATATAAATCTGGAGACACCTGATATATACATCGGATAATTAAAATGATAAGAATAGTATATTTATAGGGATTCAAAAAGATTAAAAGAGAGACGACTTTAATTGAGGAGTTATAAATTCCTCCTTAATTTAAATAAACAGATAGAAAATATAAAGAAATGATGAGAATTGAAATTAATTAACTTACTCCCCAACCAGCTTGTATAGTATTAAGTTCTGCAGGAGGACCACCTTGTGCATAAATTTGACCCAAGCTATACTGATTCTTTTGTAGCGGCGATACGGCGCATATATTGACATTTGCATAAGCTCCATGGTATGTTGTATTTGGAGTTGTATCAAGGGTAACATACTAAAGAATGGTAATAAAATCATTCACTCTTGTTACATTAATTACAAAAGGATACATGGTTATTTCAAGATTATGTTCAACTATTCAATAACATTAACATAAATCAAAGCTTTGCAACCGCGATACTTTTTTAAAACAAAATATTTATGTTTTAATCAATTAAAAAACAACTTTATGTACGAGTCAATCCTTAACTAACCATGTTCATGAGCTAGAATAGAAAAGTTGCAACGTACATAATTTTACCTTTGCGTGTATTACAAAGAGTGTACAAAGGGTACACAGACTCAAATTTAATGATTATATTTTATTTATTCAAGACAATGAGAGAATGAATAAAGGATAACCATATAACAAGGATCGATACTCCTACTAGCAAAATGCCTTAAGCTACAAATTTCTGGATTGAGCAAAAATATGAAGGGAAAAAAAACACAAAGCAATTCACCATAGAATTCACTTAATTAGTCACAATCGTCTGACTTAAGCCAAATTTTGATGAAAAAGCACCCAATTAATAGGTCCAAGAATTTGCTTAAGCCAAAAAAAAAAGGTTCAACATTATGATGACATTGGCATTGTCTTCATGTAAAGCAGTGTATATAACTGCATCTATGGCATCTTGTGAAGCTCTATGGTTTGAAACCTTATTAGAGGAGTTAAATCTGAAAGACTAAACCAATGAGACTTCTGGTTGACAATAAGATGGGGTCAAACTAACTACAACAGTATACATAAAAATCTCCCAACCATTTATGTTAAGTCCTTTAACCCTTCTCTGCATATACAAATAGTCCTAGCACCAAACTACTTGAGAACAATGATTAAACGAAAAGTGAAATTAAATTATCCAAAAAAGCAATAGTAAGCACATGTCATGTAACTCCGAAAGCAAAACTACACTTAGATAAGAAAATCCCTCAAACACATCATAATCGTGAATATCTTTTGAATCTTAAGTAATGATTCCTTTAATTGTCCATTAAGCGCAAAATCTGTACGATACAATTGAAAAAAAGATACTAAGAAGTTAGAAACTTACACGTTCAATAGGCAATTCCCGAGGATATAGTGGAAAATTCTCAATTTGTGATTCCATAGAATTAAAATTCATTTGATGTTTCATTTTTTCTCTGTAAATTGGGACTTTTCCTGGTGGACATCCAATGAAATTGCCAGCGTTAAAATCTTTCTGAATGTATTGCTTTCTTGCCCTTGTGAAAGTTGGGTTAAGCTTTTGTTGAGAAGAAGAAAAAAGAACAAGGGGGGAAAAATTAGACATTAGGCACATTATATTTAAAATTATAAGTAATGAAATACTTGCAAGTTCTAATAGAAGAACCAAACAATCTCAAACCTAAATTCCGAAATTTTCAAATGGCATTGATTAAAATCCTAAATTCCAATTTCTGAACCCAAATAGAACAGTGTAATTAAAATTATTAAAAGTAATGAATACTTGCTCATTGATTCTACCAAAATTGACTTGCTGAAATGTTAAGAGCAGTGCCAAGCTAATTACCTGAATTTTGTGATTTTTGAGCAGCGGGTGTTGAAGGCCTGGTTGTTTATAGATATCAATACAATCAAATTCATTTTCTCTACTAACCTGAATATTAATGAAATGAAATTAATTAGTAAAGAATAATGTTGATTCAAAGATTTTGAAATGATAGTTAATTAAACAGTATACCAGATTAATATTGCTATCGACTTCTTGAGATCTGGAAAACCTTTGATGTCGTTCTTGTTGGCTGTGACTTCTTGCATCAACTTTGTGACATATTATGCACAATACTAGAATTAGAAGCTGAAGCAATGCCATGATCAAACTGTTGAAGGTAATGCCGACTTAAAGGAATATATATATTATTTATGTTGTGATATTGAAATAAAAATTAATTATACTCTATTAATAATAATAAATATTTTTTTTTTTACAGGAATAATAAATGCTTTTAAATGAAGAAAGAACAATATTTGCATAATGATGATGTTTTTGCGATCACTCCACTTGGCGAGTGGATCAAGTTTCGATGTAATATTTAAGTATCGTCTTCAAGGATTTGAGAATTTAGTAATTCTTACTCTAATGATCCAATAAAAGACATTGATATGATTGAAAGTGAATTAATGCAAAGTAAAATAAAATGATAATGTAAAATTTATAAGAACAATTATAAGAAGCAAGGATTGGACCTTAGGAGTACTTGCTAACTCTTAAATCTTCTTAAAATAAATATGATTTCAATTTCATGACTTCCACATTCATTTAGTAATTCAACAAGATCCCTCAAATGTTGAATCCTAAAGTGATTAATCTAAAACATGATTCCTCTATGTTTTGAAATTAACATTTTACATTAAGAACAATGACTTGAACAAGGTGACTAAACAAATCAAGTCTATTCCTAGAGCAAGATATGTTTAGGTGCAAGATTCGGTTCGGGTTGTTAAAAACGTTTTCCAACTGGATTCAAAAATCAAAAATCATACAACAGGTGATCAAGCCGATATAAGCATTAAGAGAATTAGTAGTTACATCCAACCAATCCTCAATGATTCAGCCAGTCATGGCCATTTGCAAGATCAAAGGAGTGGAAGAAGAAATTACAAACACTACTACAAGATGTATTATCTACATCGGTTCTACGAGGTAATCTACATCAGTTCGAAAATCGATGTACAATAGGGCGACGTAGAAATACATATATTTCTACATCGATTTTTGAAATCGATGTAGATTTGTGCAAAATTTACATCGATTTTGCTGACAACCGATGTAAATTTGTAGTAAAATCGATGTAGATTTGTACACAAATCTACATCAGTTCTATTGACAACCGATGTAGATTGTATTTTTTTTATAAAAAAAAAATTCATTTATTTTTTAGAAAGCTCATTACTTTGAGTGACTTACTAGACTTCTTTCTGTTTCCTTTCCTCCAAATCTGTGATGCCTTTCTCAAGTTGCAATAAAGCAAGAAATATAACCGTTTTTTATCAGAAAAACGTTATTTTTATGTTAATCATCATGAACATAAACATGGAGCCAGTAGCACCCTGGGAGCAAAAAGCATAAAGCTATAAGTAATTGAGTATACATTCATCTCTACTGCATATAACAGTAACTTACAGTAAAATTGTCTAATGCTTGCTTTCCTTTCATACATTGACATAGTATTATTCCCATTCTCATACGTCTGCATAAATGTTGAAGGAAATATTATGAAATTAAATCTACAAAATGATTACGATAATTTCAAAACAAGAAATGGAAAATTAGGAAGGAAACAAAAGAAGAAAATAACATTTAAACACAGAAATATATGGTGCTCTACTAAAGCATTGAATATATATAACATTTAGTGTTAGAAAGTTAGGAAATTCTTTTAATTTATAATAGAACATCCTAAATTACTTCTAAGGATTAGATTATGTTAGATTATCTTTAGGACTAGTTTCTTATCGTAGAATATCTCCTAGGATTACTTTCATATTTCTTAGTAATTTAACGATTGCTTCCTTATTTAAGGTTAAGCAGAATCGGAAATCTATTTAATCAATATAAATAAGGGTTAGAGCCTTATTCTTTTGAATAAGATCATTATATCAAATCATATTAATAATTCCCTAAAAAGTTGTTCCAAGTAGTAATGGACTCAATCCTCTTAAACAAGGATCAATAGATATTTTGTACTATTAACATGGTTATTAAAAAGAAAATCATGTTCATAATTCAAGGATACTATCTTGTTCTCTTCTCTCCTTTTTCTCTAGAACCTTGCAACTTAAACATTTAGGACATATATACATACCACATAAATTAGAATTCTCAGCAAACCCAGAGCACCAGCGAGGCGAAAATCTGCCCACTGAACAAGAAATAGAAAAATAGGGGCTGCTGGACTGTATGATATCCTCATCTGAAAACATCCTCCATCTTTGTCCCTTGGATATCCTAATGCCCTAACAAAGAGGGGAAAAAGATAGCACATTAAGTACAATCTCACATAAGAAAACTGTTGAACTCTGGTAAAAGAATTTGTATGAAAGATCCAAGTATAAGCATATCAATGAAGTGTTAGATATTGAAAAGTCTTGTCCAATTCAATTTTCCAAAAAAGAAACTGAGTGTCATACAAATTCATAGGTGGAGTTCATCAATCATCAACCACTTCTTTAAACAAATTCTCAGCTTCAAAGTCCAAAAAAGAAACTGAATGTCATACACCTGTTTTCTCTCTAACTCCTACAAAAGAATCCATTACTCCATAAACTGGCCCAATCAAATCCAATGCCTGGGGGAAAATATCATTCAATTAAAAAATATTCTCCGTGGAGTTAAATTACTTAGGAAAAAAATATGTAGAACTAATTTAATTTGGAATCAGTGATATTACTTAGGAAAGACATTTTATGGCTGTGATAGGATATATGGAATTGCTACTGATTGATAGACGGTGGAAGTGCTGGTAAGGGTATAATTCAAACAAAATAAAAAAATTATCACATGGCTATTTGGACAGCCAAATCATACAAATTGATTTCACATACCATAATAAGCAATTATTATTTTGTACCTAAGTTGTATTCCATGGAGGGTCCCGCTTGGGATTAATATGGATTAGTGAGCCTTTTAATAAAATTGCTCGTTTGACGAGGTCTCAGTTTGAGAATAAGTCATTCTAGCAATCCACTATTTTTAAACAAATAAACGAGTCCAACCATCCCTCGCGAATGCCGAAAGCCCGTTTCGGGCCGGTGGCGACAAGTACCAATGGAAGCTTGTCATATTTTGTTAGGAAGGCCTTGACAATATGATAAGAAAACCATGCATAATGGCCTTACTAATGAGATATCCTTTACACATAAGGAAAAAAAATTTGTGCTTCATCCTCTCTCTCCTCAACAGGTGGCTGAGGATCAAGCATAAATGAAACTCAAAAGAGAGGGTGAAAGAAAATTTCAAAAAAAAAGAAGAAAAAAGAGAAAAAAAAAGTCCATGAAAAATAGGGACAAAGAGAATTCTAAAGAGAAAAGAGTCTCCTCTCTAGAAGTTGTTAATCAAGAGAAAAACATTTCATAACTAACTTTCTTGATTGAACAACCCTCTTTTATCTTCTTATGCATAGTCCCAAAATATACTGGTTGAAGTGATTCCTGCCCAGTTGAACTCAATCCAGTCATGTTTTTCAGTTGCTCCTGAATCATTATTTGCTTTTTAGATAATAAAAAACTTGCTCTGCCACTTACCCGGTGGTTCATTAATATCAAATATCAAACATCTTTGACACTTATTAGACACACATACTCATGTTAAAAAGTAAAAGTTAATTTTAAGGCTAAAAATATACAAAATATGTATGCTATATACTATAATTAGTTTTTACTATCTAAAGGCTACATGCCAACAGCTACTATTTTCATACTCTGCCTCTAACTGAAACATATAAAGGATATGGACCAAGCTTGTTATGAGTTACAAATGGAACTTGCAACCACATTGTTTAAAGCTACTATTGGCAAACCCCAAAATTACAAGGTGGACCACTCCCAGTTATTTAGAAGTCAGAGTGGGAGATTGTTAAGTCTCAACTATACTTCTTTTTGAACAAGACTTAGTGAACAATTCCACTCATCCTTTGCATCATTACAAGATAATTGTTTTCATTTTGATTATTTTTTGTGCAGATATAGCTAACCCAGAATTTAGCTAACAATACCCTAATACACCTCATTTTTGTGCAGGTATTGAGCTAGAGAATTGAGGATTGAGACTCATAGGATTGGAAATCTAAGGAGCTAAGGAGCAGAGAAGAGTGATTGCGCCGGGCGCAAGATGACCCGCGCCGGGCGTGAGCAAACAAAGTGCTACACCTTTGCAAGTCATACCTGCGCCGGGCGCGAGACTACCCTCGCCAGGTGTGATCGAGACAGAGAGTAACTCAAACTCTCTGGAAGGCATTGCGTCGGACGTAAAAGGAAATTGTGTCGGGCGTGTCCTGAGGCAGAGAGTGCTTAACTTCCCTGGAAGGCCCTGTGCCGGGCACAAAGACTTATGCGCCGGGCGTGTAACCCTAATCTAACTCCCCAAGCTTGTATTTGAAGAAATTTTCAAGGGCTTCTTCCTCATTCGCACATTGGACGCATTTTAGGAGCTGAGAAAGGGATTCCCGGAGCTTGGAACCGTTCGTGTGTGGGTCTTTCCTTCGGTTCTTCATTCTCTCTTCCATCTCTATTTTTGCTTTACCCTCATTGTTTTGAGTGGTTCTACCCATTGTTTTGTGGGGTTAGATGTAACCAACGAATTCTATTGTAATCCTTACGTTTTAATGATATATATATATATATATATATATATGTTGTTTCATTCATTGTTGTGTATGTTTCTATTCTTAATGCTTGCTTTGGATTGATTCTCCTTGCATGATATAGGTTCCATTGAGTATTGGAAAATAACCTTTGAAACTAGCTCTGAAATAAATGCCTAGTGGGAAATGTATCTAGGAATGGAGTTTGGCCCATTAGTAGTCTTAAACCCTAACCCGTAATGCGGGTGTAGGTATTGAATACTCAAGGGATTGATATTCATTATCCGCACCTAGGCTCTTGCTCTAAGGGATTAGGTTTGAGTAAACTTATGGGTTGACTAAGCAATAGATGTAACAAGAGATTAAGGATTAAGTAGTTTGACGTTTGGTGAAATTTGACCCCACAATCTCACAAAACCATAATACCATTTCTACCATTTTTTCACACTAAAACAAATATTTTTACGGTTTAACATTCCAGTAGTCATACTCTTCAATTCACATTTACATGATAAACTACAAAATTGGAATTATTCTTTAGTCACGAATAGTCAATAAATGCTTATTTTACCTACTAATCCCTGTGGATACGATAATTTTGCTACATGAACGGCCGGTATACTTGTCGTGTTTGAGACCGTTGATAGAACAAAAGTGATTTAAAGTGATAACAAAAGTAGTTCAACGGAAATTCTCAACAGAGACATGACATGCTATGTTAGAGTATAAATAACAGGAGTGAAACAAAAATAACAGTGATCAGTTTTTTAGACTAGTGGAAAAAAAACTTTTAAAATCGGTTATTTTTAACTTTTAAAATCGGTTCCGTAACCGATTTTGAAAGAGCCGATTTTAAAGGTTAGACTTTTAAAATCGGTTAAACAACCGATTTTAAAAGTTCACTTTTAAAATCGGTTGTTTCATAACCGATCTTAAACGCCTGGCAGTGGAAAAAAATTAAACTGGAACGGGCCGTTCCAGTCTGTCCAAAATGCCTAAAAAATAACTTTAATACGGGGCGTTCTCATTGGAGAACGGCCCGTTCTCCTTGGAGAACGGCCCGTTCTCCTTGGAGAACGGCCCGTTCCAGGTTCGACATTTACCAAATCTGAACCTACAACGAAAATAGACGAGAAAAACATGAGAAAACGAAAAGAGACACAAGAAGAACATGAGAAGACGAAAATGAAAACAAAAACGACAATGAAATTTACCTTATTGGAGACTTTAGAAAATGAGAGCGTCAAAAATTAATTTTAATAGAAAACTTTATATGAGAAAGAGATTGGATTCAAATGTACTTTCTAACACCTTTAATCTTCATCAAATAAATATGATTCCAATTCTATTACTTCCACGTTCAATAATTAACTCAATCAGATTCTTCAAAATTGAGTCCTAAGGTGATTAATCCTAAACATGATTCCTCTATGATTTAAGATTAACACCTTGCATTAAGAATGATAACTTGAACAACAATGGCTAATAAAATCAAGTCTATTCCTAGAACAAGAGATTGTTAGGTGATTAATTCAGTTTAGGCTTTTGAAAATGTTTCCCAACAGAATTCAAAAACCTAATATCATAAAATGGGTGATCAAACCGGATTAAGAATTAAAAGAAGAATCAAATACAAGTAATAGAATTGAATATCATATAAATCTAAGAAGAAATAGAGTTAATAGTTACACTGAATCCAACCCAAGAGAAACTAGCCGCTCATGGTGAGGGCCATAGCAAATAAAAAGATGAGATTACACAATAGAAGAGAAGGAGTGAAGATGTGTCCTTGTTCCCAAGCAATCCAATCTTCAAATATGATCTTCACGCTCTCCTATTCTCCTGGGTTTTCTTTCTCTATTTTTCTTTCGTTCCCGTTTATCCCCCTTCTTTCGTTCCTTTTAATCCCTTAAATATGTTTTGTCGAGGGGAAAGTTGGGATTTTTAACCCAAGACTACAACTCTGGATGTGTGACTGCGGCTCTAGAAGTACTTCAAGACAAAGAAAGCTCCAAAGTTGTAGCTATAGACTAGGGGCCATAGCTCTGAAATTCTAAACTGCCTAGAATGTTCTATTTCCCAAGACTAGAGCTATGGCATCATAGCTAAAGCTTCAACTCTCTGAAATGCTTCTTTTTGGTTCATGCTCTATGGTTGTAGCTTTGGTTTTGGAGCTATAGCCTTGGATTTCCAACTTCATCAAAATCTACACAAAAGAGAAATATTTTCAATCAAAGAAACTACACTCTTGTAACTCCTTAGATTAATCTTAATTTATCTATTTAGGGGTCAAATACAACAAAAATTACTTACATATCTCCCAAAAAGAGTGCCAAATCAAGGATAAAATATATGTAGCACTTATCAACTCAAAGGTCAAGTACTACTGTGACACCTTCTACCCCATATACATATTACACAATAAATATAAAGTATATTTTCTAAGTAAATAAAACTTTCTTAATTGAAACAAAGTTCCAAAACACATAGATAGAGAGTTCACATTCATATTTCATAAATCGTAGTCTAATGCGAAAGTGATGACAAAATAAAATATTAGTCTTTCTAAAACACAATAACAATAATAAAATTTCTATGCTAATCCTAACTAAGTCCCGATGTCACATGTCCTATCAAAGCACACCCCACAATGAGACTTAAACCTCATCACCAACATCTTCATGCTGATGATCACTTCCAACACAATAAAAATACACATAGAGAAAATATTGAGTAACATTTAGTAAAACTGATGCAAATATTTAGATGCAAATATTGAGTGTTCTACATTGTTTTTAGTAAAAGCGATGTAGTATTGAATATGTGGTGGAAATTTTTTAAATAATTATAAATAAATCTACATCGGTTCACCTAATAACCGATGTAATATTGAGAAGCTGACCTACGCAAGAGTCCTCTCTCCGTGAAGAAGTGTTTCATTTTCGCTTTGGGTATATGATTCTCTCTACTCTCATTTCACCAAATACAAAGCCCAAACCCTCCCTCAGCATCGTTCCATTCCGTTCCGCCACCTTCATCGTTTAGGTTACCTTCAATCAGAGCCTCACAAAACGACCATGCGTTTCGCACTCCACCAAACCCTAAACCCTCGTCTCCTCTTATCCAAACCCTAACCTCATTCTTCTCCCCCCTCGTCGAAACCTCATGCATCGTCGTCGCTGCCATCACTTTCTTCTTCATGCGCTTCCATGCGCCCGTCTTCGCCGCCTCGCTCTCGCTGTCACTGCAGGTCGAGTTCGCGGAGGAGGTTGACCTAGAAGCAGAGAGAGCTCTTGAAGAGCGCCTCACCACCAATCTTGACGACACCGACATGCTCCACGCGCTCATGGAGTGCAAAATCAGAGCCCGCAAGATCGAGGAAGCGATGGCAGTTCTAGACCGTTTGATTGAAGTCGAACTGGAGGAGTACGAGTGGCCACTGCTGAAGGCAAACATGCACATCTACAACGACGAATGTAACGACCCACCCTAGGCCGTCACATCTAGAACTAACCAAAGATAAATAATATATATATAAAAGAAAATAGAATAAGGGTCAGCTACGCTAGAGTGTAAATATACAATAACATATAAAATTGTTTCTAAAATATGTATAACATAATTTTATAGTAGAGTCATCCTCAGTAAGGTTATACAGTAATCCAAAAAGGTAATATAATTATAACGTCATGAAGACATCAAAACAAGACACCCTAGGTGCTGGTCAAGCTCTAAACCTAGCCACTTCTCAAAGCAGCTATCCAAAAGACTCCTTGCTATCCCAAGGCCTCACACCTGATCTGCTCCCCCACATAGTGAGATCATCACAATCCACATCATGGAAATATAAGGGTTAGCACATATAAAACCAATCATAGTACATCTTAATAAAATATCATTAAACAGATATTTATCCATAGTATTTATCCAGACCAACAAGTCATTTCCAAGTTAAGTATAGACCAATCCAAAATATAATGTATACACATCCATGCCAATGCATACATATTTTATGATAATAAAGAATCCATAACCAATGTATACAATCCATACCATATGTATACATATTCCACATCCAAAACAAAGTCACACCACTGTATAATCCATGATGTAACCAACACATCCAAACCAAATGTTGGCCTCAACACAATCCAAACCAAGTGTTGATACGGTGAAACATGTCAGCAACCCATGTCCCAC